AAAAATAAGTTCACTTGAAGCTAACCACAGAGGCAGGCAAGCACAAACGCATCCGGAGAAAGGAGCTAAACCAAGTGTATAAATGCTATAATAAACCATGACAATTTCACTTCTGAAACATCATGGAGCAAGGGGTTAAAAAACATGGGATGTAAAGCTCTGATGATTAAGACCCCATGGTTCATTCTTTCCAACAATTACTCATCATTAAGAGCAACATAGACAGTGTGTAATCTGCCAACTATTTTTTTTTTTGAGTATTTAAATTAAAGCTTCATACAATTGAATTGTAAAGGATGAAAGATTATCCCAAGAAGTAAAATTATTGAGATATTAGTCTCAAAGAAGAAATGATGTCACATATTTCCTTACACATAGGATAATATTCTAAAAGAATATATTATTAGAAACAAAGTTGTCAAAAGACCATTTCCTTATTCCACAAGATCATTATTATTGTTACAGTGCTACAATTTTTAAGTATTCCAGAACCTCATTTTTTTCTCTATGGATTAAAGTGTCTCCGAAGGGTTATATGGTATTTGACGTATCAGTGTTGTGGGAGGGATTTATTTGTTTCCATCCATACGGATTTTACATTTCTTGATTTTTGTGTATCTCAAAACTTTCATAATGACCTACATATTTCACAAAATGTTATATCTAACAAAATTTAGCCATTTCCCTCAGCAAACTTTTTGAAGTAGATCAATGTGTTCTGGGTCACATAATCATACTTTTTATTTATTGTGACAAGTTGCTCTCAAATGCCATAAAATTCACAGGAATGGATTGATAAACTGTGGTAAATGGATACCATGCAATATTATTCAGCTATTAAAAATATGCAGATTATGTATATTTTACAACAATGTGGATGGAATTGAAGCCATTTTCTCCTAAACGAAGTATCACAAGAGTGGAAAAACAAACATGGCATGGGCCCAGTCCTAAACTGGAACTAGGAGACTAACACACTCTCCTCACATGAGAGGAGAACTCAGTGAGATTCAAGTGGGTGGTGTAACAATCCCACCCAACAGGACATTGCACGGGTATATGGCACAGTATTTGGATGTAGGACACACCTACAATTCAACTTTAACTTTACAAACACGAACTATGGAGTTTAACTATACCCCCACATGAATCTGAAATTCTAAAAAATGCTATAAGATCATTCAAGATTCAGTTGCAGATATCTGGCAGCATGCATAGCAACCAAGAGTTTACCACCTTCGGTTTTTGGTTAGTCATTAAATTTTGGTCAGCCATTAAAATTTCATAAGTAATCTTAATAAAGATTAGATGGCCTAAAAAGAAAGTGAAGATTTAGTTGAGTAGGTGGATTTCACAAGATGTCATTTAATGACCTTTTCAATGCTAAGATATTAAGATTCTGATAAAAAATTATGGGATGTGACAGCTAAAAAGGACCTTAGAGAACTTTTTATCTAAACTCCCTTACTTGATAAGATATCCCGATTTGCAGAGTGACTTGTCCAAATTCATGCAGTAAATTCATAGAATCAACAAGGCTGGAAGCCAAGTCTCTTCACTTGTGGTCTAGTACCCCTCCACTGCTGTGCTGTAGTTCTATTGGAAACTTCCTGACTGGAGGAAATGAGTAGATTTCAAGAAACTTAGGTGATTTGGTATAAGTTTGGTTGATGAGATAAAATTAAGGCAAATATAAAGTATATAATTTTTAGAAACAATGAGATTGTGTTATTTAAGAGTGACTAATTTTTAAACAAGTGATAAGAATTTCAGCTAAGTTGTGTAATCAAACATAAAATCATTATAAACTATTTAGCCTTACAATCATGAAGTGCCAAGCTCTTGAGACATGGAGACAAGCCAAATCTCCATCTTTAATGGGAATAAAAATAATTCAACCTTTAAAGGAACAGAATGCAAAAAAATACATGATTATAAATTAATAACATAATCACAAAACAGTGCTATTTTATTTTATACCTTTATATCAATTCCAGATTGATATTATGATGGGAAATATCTGTGTACATGAATATTTTTAAGCTGATCAGAAATAATACCTACTTCTCATTCAACATGAGACAATCTGTTACTATACATTATATCTCATTTACTCAGTAAAATAAAAAAAAAAACTTATGATATTGGTATTCTTATAATATTAATTTTAAAAATGAAAAAGCCAGGGATTGGAAAGCTTTAGGAAATTGTTCAAAGTTACAGTTTAAGAAAGTTTCTGGCTTAGAATGCTAGCATTTTGTTTCTAGAATTCTTATATTTAATTGCTTGTTGCCCCAAGGCTGATATTCTACTTTCTGTTGGTTAGAAGGTGGAATCATTCATGTACTTCAAGACCAGTTCAAACCAGGATATTGTTCAATCATTTAGCAGCAGTCTATCCATTCACTATAAGCAATGAGGTAACTAGTTTTGTCTATTTCTCAAGAATACAAGCAAATAGATTGTGTAATTATCATTATTTAAGTGCCTAAAATGTTAAGTTTTTTCCAGGTGACCATCTGCTCTAGCCTTACATCGTTCTATAATAATAAACCACGTAAGTCTGGCAATGATCAAAATCTGTATTTACTCATTAAATCAAAATTATATACTGAAACACTTATTAATTCAGGAATGAATTAAATAGAATGAGCAAGTCAATGCCATCCCAAGGAGAAAAGAACTCATGGAGTGACCTTATTCACAAATGACAGACCTAACATCACCGTCTGACATTTGAAAATTTGGAATTGCACATGTCCTCACTAACTGACTGCACATCATGAGGTTACTAAGAATACTGTAGGCTGGAGACAATTGTGTCAATCCCAACCTATGTGATTTCCTGCCTTTGCCTTGTTAATTTGACAACAGGATTCTATGCTGACAGAAAAACTTTTTAAAACACCCCTAAATTGATCATGATTTTTAAGGAATCAGTTCAGTTAGTGCCATGATAACAAGTGACTTTCTAATGATTCTGTTCTTATTTCACAAAGTGGTGGTTTATTATTATTTTTTTTAAGTCTCACTTTATCACCCTCAGTAGAGTGCCATGCGTTACAGCTCACAGTAACCTCCAGCTCTTGGGCTTAGGCAAATCTCTTGCTTCAGCCTTCCAGGTAGCTGGGACTACAGGTACCCAGCTATTTTTTGTTGCACTTTGGCCAGGGCTGGGTCCTACTCATTGAGCCACAAGTGCTGCCTGACAAGGCAGTGGTTTAATGGTAGTCATAGCTTAATTTTCTTTCTTTTTTTTTTTTTAAGCTCAATACCCTTGCCGATTCTTGGAAATCTTGGGTATGTCAAGCTTTCAAAACCATTTTTCAGACATTTAGTTGTAGTTTGAACACATTTTTATTTAGTATCCTCTATTTATTAATTTTTCAACATACCCGTGTGTCAGCCAAGCAGCACAGTCAGTGTTGAGGAGGCAGTAGTGAAAATAATACATTTCCTTCTTGCCTTTTAGGAACTTACAGTGTAGTGGAAAAGGCACAAGGAAGAAATAAATGAAATCATCATAAGTTAAAATCTATGAATGAAAAAAAAAAAAGACCTAGACCCTGAGAATGGAATTCTTTCTTCAGATAGGGTATGGAGAGTCACTCTGAGCGGTTAACTCTGAAGCCAAGATAAATCACAAGCTGTAGTGGAAGCCCCTGTATAATAATAAATGCAAATATGAAAGAGAATTAAATGCATCATTATAGGGTCAAGTAGAGGGCAGGTGAGGTTTTTAAGCAGTAAGAGTGGTCATTCAGAATTATAATTAACTTGCATGTGTTGCAAAGCTATTGTATACATGTGGAGTGTACAGCCTATAAAGCTGAATGTATTTAGGTGTGTAGTCTTAAATATATAATGTCCTTAGACAGGAAAGGGTTGTGTAAAAGTTGAGAGTTCCTGAATGTTCTTGGATTTCTTCATACCAGAGAAAGGGGGGTTAGGATACTGTGCTAAGAATATACTTTCGTTCCACATTATTGTCATTAGCTGAGCTAAGTTAATCATAGAACATACTCTAGGAATTGTTCTGTTGGGTTCCCTGTTATGAACATAAAACTGTGCTAAGAACAATATACTAATGCTGCAAAGGTAGGAGTTCATTCTCTGCAGTCAAAAAACAAAACACAATGTAGAAAAAATTATACACAAATCTGAAGATTTGCTGCTAAAGAAAATTATCAACTTTTGAGAAACAAGTGAACATATTCCATGGCATAAAGTAAAATAATAATAAAAAGGACAGGTGGCTAAATTCATTGGTAATTCAAAGGAAGAAGTGGCAACTTATGAATGAGAATATGATAAAAAGCTTTCAAACGTGGCCTTCAAGGAGATGATGGAAACAAAATGTGAGACAAAAGGAGAGGTGCTTGAAGAGCAATGGCCACATTCAGTACTTTGGGTGAACAGTAGGAAGGAATGCTATTGGGAACTCCTCTCACATCCCGACCCGCTGGAGAGACCATGATCTGAGTGGAATGGGGTGGGCTTAATGGGGTTTGTTTCTGATTAAGAATGTCTTGAACATCATACTACCACCTAGACATGTTGGTGTCCCTCAAAGCTCCAGTGCTAAATGTTAGTCAGAATTCAATTTGATATTTTCATCTATATTTCTTATAGTTCACTTACCAATACAGAGAGTCACAGTGGCTAAGGAATAAGAAAATGATAGCTTGGGTGACATGTTGGGACTCATTTGACAAAGTCCACCTTGAATGAGTCATCTTTGGAGCGAATATAAAAGCCAATTTGAAGATTCAAAATGGACTCACAACTTTGTTAATAAGATGCCGTCTTCATTTAATACTAAACAAAGTGCTAATGAGATGTTCTCCTTTAAATTAGCCTAAGCAATGAGATGAAAAGGAGTCTTGAGAAGAAGCCAACACCCAGTTTTCTGAGTATATAATCTCTCCAGCAAAGAATTTAATTTTTAAACTCAGCATGTAGGGTGCTTGTGTGCAACTTCAATTAAGGGTTTTAGCAATATGCCTTGTAACCACTACCACTCACTCGGGAGTTCCCAAAAGGCACCACTACTCTCTGCCATCGTACATGGCTCTAATCCTATACACTTTGAAGATGGATTTTGTTTGCCCAGCAGCTACTATAGCAGAACCTGGCTCCTGGACAACTTTCAAGAGACTTGCAATGAAACCACCATCAGCCAACTGACCAGTTGTGAACAGAAGAACCAGTTCACAGAAGACAACCCTGTGCAAAGTACCTGCCTCCCTGAAGATGTCCAAATGACTTATTCTGATCCCGGGCACTGTGAAAGGACAACATATCAATTACAAAGCACCTCAGTGGTGTTGGAGCATGCTTCTCAGCCTTGTCAGTCAGAAAGCAGTGAGCAAATGGGTTTTGTAGTCCAGAGGTGCCAACCTGAGTGCCACATGGAAAAATGCTGCCCACCCAAGATGTCTGTGTCTAAGAGTTGCCAAACTCTGGAATGTGAATCCAGCCAATGCCAGTTCCAGAGCCTGGAATCCAGTTCCTGTAGACATTTGGTCAAAGATGCACGTGAGACGCAATTCCTGGAATCTCCTTCTAGCACTTACGAACTAACTTGCTGTGTTACTGGTGGTTTGAAATTGCCTAGTAAGTGACGTCTGTAGGGGACAGGGCATATTTTAATTTAGAAGAATTGATTTTTGAGATATTTAAGAACTCTGATTTCTCTAAATGTGAAGTATCGTGTGTGTGTATGTAAGTAAATGAACTTGTCTTCTTCTACTACTGTGTCCAAAGTCAGAGAATGTTTTGTTTTGTGTTTGCACTTTGGAGCACTTCTAGTGGTAAGATAGGGTTGGGAGGTGTGTTAGTTATTTTACATCACTAGGACAACGTTTGTTAGAAACAGTAAGAGTTGGGGGATAACACTAGTGCTTAAAAAGTCAATGTTACTCTTTAACTACTAGTTATTTTTCCAGGAATATTTAGTATTGAATCTGCCTTATAAACTAATGTCCTACCATTATCAGAAGTGCATAAAGTGCATAAAACATTAGAGCTAACCCAGCCCTACAAGCCCAGCTAGTCCTATGGATTCTGATAATAGCGGCTATCCACTATTTTATACACTGAATCACAACACTCTTAAGTTAAATACCAAGTTGAATCTATTACTTAAAATGTGCAAGAGAATGTTCAATTTCACCTCCATGAACTCTATAACCACATAGCAACCAGAAACCTTTAGACAAAATGAGCTCAAGTTTAGCATCTTCATTTCACTCTATTCCTGCAATTCTTCTTCCTGATTTTACTATTTCTCAAGTAATTCTTGAATTGAGAGAATGTTATTTTTATTTAATAAATTTACTTCATTTGGAATGAAAAACTTAATTGTCATATCATTATTTTTATGCAATGCTTTTGTGGATTCCATATCATGAAGCTTTTTTTTTAATTGACGCAAATGGTATGAATATTTAAAAACAGAACATGCCCTTCATCATAGTTTTATAGTATGAACCAGAATTAAGTATTTGTGGTAGTCAACAGATGGTGGGAAACATACTTCATATGAAGGTTAAAGGACCATGTAGTCAGAATGTGTGAAATTCATTAATTTTGAAGTTTTAGGTGTGCTCTGAAATTTGATCTCTCATTTGTTTCAAGGCAACATAAGGTTAAGAGTGTAGCCTTCAAAGACAAATTTCCTTGAGTTGGACTCTTAGCTTTGCTGGTTTCTTCAACTTCAAAACTGAGATGTTAATTGTAGGGCCACTGTGTGCTGGGAGAATGGGGACCAAAACCCCCATTCTTGGCAAGGGAAAGCACCCCCAGAAAAAGAGGAAAATTAAAAAATAAGCTGAGTGAGTTGGAACAAAGAAAAGTCAGCCAGGTTACATTTAAGCTAGCTATTGCTAGCAAGCTTCTTGCCTTTTCTGAAATTCTAGCCTGGTGGGGATAGAGCTTACAAACACCCTGCTGGGTCTGTGAGCACTCTGAGGAAAGTAATGGCCATAGAAGAGACTGTGGAAAGTCCTAGAAAAAGATAGGTCTTCTAAGGTGTTTCCTGCCCATTAAACAGGCAAAGCAGATACCCATTGTGGAGCCCTGAGATATGGGCAGAAGAGCTTATATCCCTTATTGCAGAGGAAGATCCTCTGTGGTGGTGATGTGAGGAAAATTCTTCCCTCCTACCGATTCATCAGAGGAGATTAACCCCAGTGACATTTTACTCCAGAGGGAACCAGTGGAGTTTAACACCTCACTAGAAATCTGTGTGTGATCTCAAGTGGGAGGCTCTCCTAATATAAAGCTCAGATTTCAGATTTCGGAAGGTTATCCTTAAGGTTAATAATAATAACAATATGAGCTGGTTTGCTCAATCAGAGAAACTGCTGATGTCTTTGTTCCCTCCCTCATCTTACCCTCTGGGCAAATAGACTTCAATAAAATCAGAGTGCAGCAAACACTCTGGTCCATTGCCAGAAAGAAGCCCACAACTCGGCAATGTACTCCTGAGCTCCCACTTTTAATTCTACTCTATGTCTCATGTCTCTTTCTTATCGTAATTTCTAACTCTGTATTTCTTCAGTCAATTGTTGCCAGTTTCCACAGGTCTTAGTGGACCCTTCTCCTCGGGTGGGACCATGACAACTGTGAGCCTTAAGGAGTTAATAAACTGAAAGTGTGAGACTTAATGAATTGCTTTTTATATAATATATACTAGTCCTTGCTAAGATTTAGCAACAGAGCTAGTTCAGAGTCTCAGTATGGAGGAGGTAGCAGTCACTTTTAAATAAACCCAGAAATGTATAACAGGTAAGGAAAATCAGTCATCTATCCTGTCATCTCAACAGGAGAAAGATTGACAGCTTTGTATTTTGGAAAATGTAAGCGGTATCATCTAGTAAGGGATGATTAAAAAACACATAGGCCTACCTAGCTGAAGGGGACTGGCAAGTCTCTCTGAATCTAGGACAAGACTAGCATATTGATAATTCACCAGCCAGTTCTATGGGTGGGTGTGGTGGTAATTCTGTGTGTCAACTAGACTGAGCCAAGGGGTGCCCAGTGTAACATTATTTCTAGGTATGTTTGTGAAGGTTTTCTGGATTAAATTAGTATTCAAATCAGTGTTCTCAGTAGAGTACCCTTTGTAATGTGAGTGGGCATCACTCACTCCACTGAGGGCTGAAATAAATCCAAAGGCAGAGGAAGGAGAGATTTGCTCCCTTTTGCTTCCTGCTTGCCTGCCTGACTGCTTGAGCTGGGAAATGCATCTTCTCCTGCCTTTGGTTCAGGTCCCCTGGTTCTCAAGTCTTCACACTCAGTCTGGAACTATATCACTGGCTTTCCTGCATCTCCAGGTTATAGAATTCAGAGGCAGATCATGGGACTTCTTAGCATCCATAATTGAGTGAGCAAAATCCAAATAATAAATCTCTTCTTTCTTTCACACACACACACATATCTCATTAGTTCTGTTCTTCAACCTTGACTAATTTGGTGAGCTAGACACATGTCATCCCAAAGAGGAAAGTAACCCTAAAATCTATAAACGACAGTCTACAGGGAAATTGAAGGAGAGCTTCAGGAGGTCTGGGAGAGGCCACACACTGCTGGATCCCAACTGTAGCAGTAGAGCCTGTGACAGCCACAGAAGCAGAGAGTCCCTTGCAGGAAAGACAGTGACATGAAGCTTCCAGCTGCAGCTCTGATGGCAGCAATGCAGCACTGACAGTGATGAAGGGGGACCTCCTCTCATCACTGCTCCTCAGAGTTCCACTTCCAGCCAATCATTCAAACATGGATGAAATCCACTAACAGTGAGAACTGTCTCCAATATGACTTAAATTGGACAATCTAGAAAGAGCTCACATCATCTGAGCCTGTGTTTCTAAAGAAAAGAGGGAAAGCACAGCCATTCCATGTGTCTTCCGACTATGTTTGTGTGTGGGGTGTAGCTTGGTGGGAAAACAGGATTTCAGTGAAAAGTGTATATATGTGGTATGTGTTTTGTGGAGCAGGATAAGGCCAGGAGAGAGGGACACCAGTGTTAAACAAGTTTCATTTTCTAGACCTTAAAACGTTCTTTCCAGAGGGAGCTTGACCAATCCTCTAAGGCAGTGATTTTCAACAGTGACATAAAGCCTCTGGCCCTCGCTCCTATGGCAGGAGTGCAGCACTGGCAATAATAAACAGGGACTTCATCTCGTGTGCTGGGAGAGGATCTTAGGTGTGCCTTGCAAATTTTTAAAGATCATTAATGAGACTATTTTCAAAAGAAGTTTAAAGCACAGTAAGTATATTCTTTTTTATTTTTTTGCTTTTTTTAATCAACATATTTTTAAGTATGTATATATCTCTTTTATATATAAAATAGGCTCTTGCCTTATATAATGAACAGAATTTTGATAATTTCAACCAATATTACAGCATAGATTTTTTTAAAGTTATTAAATGTTCTTAGAAAACAGCTTTTAACAGCACCATAGAGACTATCACATATCTATGACAACATTTATTTAACCATTACTCTACTGTTGAAAGTACAAGAAATTTTCTCCACTGAATATCCTTATATGTAGATCTTTGGGTGCAGCTCCACTTCTTTAACCAGTTTGATGTAAGCATTCCAAATCGTATATAAAATCAGCCGGCACACTGTATCCCACAAATGCAGTCATGTACCCAGTTATTATTTAATAAATAAAAATAAAATAGGACACTATATTTGGCACATCAAATAGTCATCAATTTTTAAATATCCAACATTTATAGAAAAATACAGGAAAAGAACATTTTCAAGTACCAAAGCTAGAACTGAAAATTGGTACAACTGTATGTAAAACATTTAATACTGTACAGCAAAAAATCTAAAAAATAGTACTGTCTTGGAAATTATTCTAAATCAATCTACTTCGAATGTGCCACTGAAGTTAACTATAGGTTCAAGTGTGCCAAGAGATAAAAATGGTTGAAAAACACTACTTTTAAGGAGAAATCAGCTGACGAAGGTGCTGGTATTTAATGTAACCTGACACAGAGCACTCATGAAATCTTAATAGAAAAAAAGTTGTGTAGATTCAGGTACAAAAGAGTTTTGATGGTGAAACAGGGAATGGTATGATTATGAAAAGAGATCTTGGTAGGAAATTCAGTGTAAGGGGATGAACATGGGCCTTCAATTATGATTATACCTTGCTCAATTTCGAATTCTGTCAATTAATAACTGTGTGCCCTGAGACAAATTGACATTTCTGAGACTCATTCCCTTCATTGTAGCTAATGAATGCAGCTAATAATGCCTAATTCACTGGGCTGCTGTGACAACTAAATGACATCATTCTAATTAAACACTTAGTGGAGTGCTTGGCACATGATAAGAATGCTATATGGACTACGCATCATCTGACATTTCATCTGATGTTTGTCTCTTGGAACTCAACTATAGTTTATTTTTATGATTGTCTATAATGCATTTGAATTTCAGAGTAGAGACCAAGAAAAACCCGCCATTCCGTATGGAAAAGATGTAAACAATATGGAAGGCAAGCTGGATACTCCACGAAGCACTCACTTTCCAACAAGGTGGAAACAGCCTAGTGGGGACATGCCGCTGGGAATTCTTCAGAGATCAAGGCACTTCTTC